AAAGATGTAAAATTTCAAACAGTGTTTCCAATTTATTTTTACAGTAGGACTAAAATGTGGAGGGAGGTCAGTCCAACTTATCTGCCATAAGATCATGCAGTGGACTAACCAAGTGCAGAATCTATAAAAAAAAAAGTATATTAAGCTGGCAGAAACTAAATTATCATAAACTGTAAGAGGAACAATGAAATGATAAACTGAATAATGGTCTACAGAGACAACACTGACAGATGTAACATCAAATCATGCTGTGGTTTCAAGACATTTAGAATAACTTCATCGTGGTTTTGATCCAGTACAGCTGTCTCCCTGAGACAAACGAGTAGACTCCAGGTTTTTTAATGATACCACAACCCCGTCCAAAAGAAGTGACTCCAACCAGCGCTCCATCGCACAACAGCGGGCCTCCTGAATCCCCCTGCAGCAAGAACAAACACATGACAGTGTTTCAGGTGTTGAGCTGAATGAACATTTACTTCAAACAAGGAAAAATACATGTATTCTTCATACGTACCTGACAGGTATCAGCGACGTTTGTACCATCTGAACCAGCACATATCATGTCATCAGTGATAACAGGGTCGTGGTTGTAATAATCACCAGAGTTGCACTTCTGCCTGCCGACCACAGTCACATTGACAGACATGAGGACGTCTGATGTTTGGTTGTTTTCAGTTACTCCCCATCCGGCCACCAGACACGTGCTGCCAGCTGCCGGGTCTCTCACAGTGTTGCCAACCTCGAGCCACTGCACTTCCCTGGTTTTCCTCACCGGTTCTTTAAGCTGAAAAAAAGTTAAAAAGAATCTCAGATATTGGTGATGAATCTCTCCACATTAACTACATTAAATAAACAGATATTTGCTAAAGAGTTGTAGCACCACTCATTTATTTCTAATATTTTGCTTGGAAAATATGAAATATGTGCAGTGCTGAGTTGAAACATGTCTATAAAGACATGGAAATACATTTTATATTTTAAAAAATGAAATTAAGTTTTAGTTAAGTAAGCAAAACCTGAGTTGGCTGTAGGAGGTACAGCAGGTTATCTACTAATAGGATGGTTTGGTGTTTGATCCCTGGTCTCTCCAGTCTGCATGTCAAGATACTGAACCCCACGATGCTCTCTGATGCTACGTTAGAGTGTGAGTGTGTCAGTGTTAGAAAGCACTTAAGCACAGAAAGATGTGTTTGGGTGAATAAGCCATGTTGTGTAACGCTCTGAGTGCTCAGGTAGAGTAGAAAGGTGCTAAATAAGAAGCAGTGCATTTACATCGTTTGTATCGGTTGTGGGCAAAAGACCTGCAACTGACAAATAACGGCTATCTCATCATCTCATCATCATCATCATCATCAGACCCTGATATATCACCTTACCTTCAGCAACATGAGGTCATTGTCGTGCTTTGCACAACAGTAGTCAGGATGAGGAAAACTTTTCTCGACGACTCGGAGTTGCTTGGAATGTTCGTTTTTCGTTCTGGAGTGGGCTCCCAGCGTCACCCAGTAACTCCTG